AGGATCACCATGTCCAACAGTATGAATCCCTTTGACATACATAGGAGACCCACGGGGTTTATGGGATTTTAACACATGCAGAAATGATGCCCATTTGATCCAAAGGGACAGAACCAGGACGAAATGAAAAAAGGCTGCTAGACTCCCAAAATTCCACAGGCAGGACAGAAGATAGTAATTTTTGCTTTTGTTAAGCCACCTAGTGTGTGATAAATTGTTGCAGCTGCCACAGGAAATTAATACTCACACATTAAGTGCTCAACAAGACACTCTTGGGTTTTTTAATTAAATCAAGTTAAATATTAATTACATCAAAATTAAATGTTGAACAGGGTATTTATAACATATGTATCAGGCATAAAGACTACTTATGAAATAAACACCTATGTACCCACAAACCTGTTTAAGAAATAGAAATTCAAGGGGTGCCTGGGTGGCCCAGTGGGTTAAAGCCTCTGTCTTCAGCTCAGGTCATGATCCCAGGGTCCTAGGATCGAGCCCTGAGCAGAGAGCCTGCTTCCTCTTCTCTCTCTCTCTCTCTCTCTCTGCCTGAACTCTCTGCCTACTTGTGATCTCTGTCAAATAAATAAATAAATAAATAAATCAATAAATCAATCAATCTTTGGAAAAAATATAGTTTAAAAAAAAAAAAAAAAGAAATAGAAATGCAAGTTACCTTTGAGTCCTCCAAATGTCTGAAAGCGTATCTTCCTTGCTTTCCCCCAGAGGTAATTACTCTCTTGAATTCTGTGTTTATCATTCTCTCATTCTTCGTCTTCTTTCTTTTTTTCTTTTTTTTTTTTTTTTGGTATATGTGTATCTCTGTATTTACTTTTTCATTTTGCATGGTTTTTAATGATTCACAGGAAATCCTAAGTTTTGTTTTGTTCTGTGTTTTGTTCTGTGACTTTTTTGTTTGCTTAACATGGATTTGTCTCATGTGGTAGGAGTACATTCATATTAACTGCTGCATAACATGATAGTAAAAAGACATACAACAACTTATCAATTCTTCCAGCAATGGACACGTAGATTAGTTCCAGCTTTTGGCTCTCCTGAGCTGTGTATGCTGCTATGAACATTGTTGTGCATGCTTCTTGGTGCATTGGTGTAAGACTTTTACTAGGGTCTGTGCCTCGGAGTAGAACTGCTGAGTCCCAGTGCCTGAGTACTTTCACCCTTACTATGTGTATTGTTGTTCCAAGTACTTGTACGGAAATTTAAAGTTCAATCTCAAGTAGCCAGTTTCTTCATTTTTTTAACCTCCCAACATATGTTGCTTCTATAATTTATCTGATATTTAATCATATTTGTCTTTAATCTCTCTGATGTAGGGTTATTTATGATTCACTCCTGGATTCTTGGTCATCTTTATCCATGCTGTGTTACTTGCTCCGCTTGGCAAAGGCAAACGAGCACAGGTATTCAGTGAATAGACTCTGAAGCCAAAAGGTCTAGGCTGGAAACCCAGTTGTGCCACTTACCAGCTGTGTGACTTTGAGCTGGTTACTTAATCTCTCTGTGCCTCAGTTGTCCCTAGCATAAGTTGGGGAAAACATAACAAAACATAACATTTAAAGAGTTATTGTGAAGATTAAATAAGCCATGCCTGGGTGGCTCAGCCAGTTAAGTGTCTCCCTCTGGCTCAGGTCATGATCCCAGAGTCCTGGGATCGAGCTCCTCCTCAGGCTCCCTGATTAGGGGGAGTCTGCTTCTCCCTCTGCCACTCCCCCTGTTTGTATTCCCCTTCTCACTGTCTCTCTCTGTCTGTCAAATAAATAAATAAATAAGAACTTTAAAAAGGAAAAAAAAGAACAAACGTATGTAAAATGTCAAATACTCTCAGCAGGTTACTATCTCACAATAGAAGTGATCAAACACTCCCATTTTCACGTCAGCAAATCTAAAACTCTCTGTGTCTACACTTTATTCCCATTTGACAGTGGAGCCTCCTATCAAAGTGGATCCCTCCACTGAGTTCTGGTTTCCATCCTGTTTCACCAGGATTGCCCATGTAGTCATTGTACCAACTTTGCTTTCTATGTGATTGTTCTCGTCACATGTGGACATTCCCTACAATCTTCCATCTTAAAATTTATGATAAGATTTATCATTATTAGAAATCATCTTGTTCCTTCATTTGTTCACTGCTTTACATTCCTTCTCCTTGCACCTACCCCTGCTCCCACAAGGAATGTAAGTGCCTCTTAAGGGAAAACATGCACTAGAAGACAACATGAGATAAAAAAGTTTCACTTCCTACAGATGGGAGGAAAACCCATTTTCAGGACATGTTTATAGAATCCTTGGGAACATAGAACAGTAGCACCTACTATGTGCCGGGCATTCAAAAATGCCAGGGGTAGAGTGATGACAAGGACAGATAAGGGACATCCTGGAACGTCTGGCACATAGTAGTCGTTTAATAAACAGCTGCTGAATGATCTATTAGTTGATTCATTTTAGTTCACAGAAATTACATCTCTGATTTTTTTAAAAGATTTCTCTGAGAGAGAGAAAGAGCATGAGCAAGGGCAATGGGAAAGGCAGAGGGAGGAGCAGGCTCCCCACTGAGCAGAGAGCCCGACCTGGGGCTTGATCCCAAGACCCTGGGATCATGATTTGAGCTGAAGGCAGACGTTTAACTGACTGAGTGACCCAGGCGCCCTGAAATTACATCTCTGGTTATGAACGAAAAACAAGAGAAACATTCTTAAAATTCTTCTAGCATTCTTCTATTATCAACTTTTGAAGAAAAACACAAACAATTTTTAATGAATATGGATGTGGAAGCACTAAAGGTATTCAATAATCTGGAAATTCAGAGAACACTGACACTTTCATACTTGAGCTCATCATCACTTTGTGCTATTGTTTTATGTTCCCGAACATTCCATAAGGCTGTGTTTGTGTCTGAAATTCTGATTTAGCTGTAAGATGTAAAAATCCTACACAGTCAGACAACTTGGCTTCAGTTATATCAGAAGTGACTTAAAAGCAAAAATAGCATTCCAGTTATTCCTTGGTGTTGACATCTCTAGGATAAAAATAAAACAAAAAAATAAGTAAACAAGTAAGTTCCTTATTAAAAAGGCAAAAGAAATGTGAATAGGACACTATCTGTCCTGGGAAGTTCAGATTCAAAACGTGTTTCTTAAGATAGGAACTGCATGGGAATCCATTCCAAAATAACATCTCCACTTGTTATATAATTAGATAATGGTTTCACAGACTTTGTATAAATATATCTTCAGTGTCTGATGGTTTTCTCTCGAAAGGATATATTACTAATTTTTCTCTCTGAAAACTGTGTTCACAGAGCCACCAACTTTCCCCCCTGACTTTATTCATTCTTTTTCTCCTTGCCCTTCCCACTCTAGGTTGGACTCAATGAACACATTGGAGAAATGAGTAACTTAGGCAAAGACCTTTTATTGGTGGTTAGGCTCACATAGTTCCAAAAAGTAAATGTAATTAACAAAACACCCACAAGTACCAGAGAAAGTGCTCCGGTCTCAGTAGAAGGCACTGATCCTAAGAAAGCTTGATGTGGGTCACCACGTAGAGATGCCGTTTCACTCCTGTTGAATGAATGTGCTGTATTCTGAGTGTGACAGTTGGGAGGCAGGAGTAGGAAGAGCCCAAGCCTCTTCTCCACTGGGTTAGGCAGCCAGGCCCTTCAGGGGTGCTCTCCCTGATGATGTGAAGGTGTCCGCAGTGGTAGCTATGACAACTATCCCAGCTACGGCAATGATGCTGATGTCATCACCAACAGTTTGACAGGATCTAGAAATCTTTAGGGTGCTTCTCATCCAGTTGATCTTCTCAGATCCATTCCTTGGACAGGTCACAGAATCCACTTTCACAAAAATGAATCCAGAGCATTCAGTGACCACTGAAAACACACCAGTCCTGGTATTTGCTAATCTGGCACCACAGTTAAAATACGATTGCATCATTTTGGAAATAAGTCCAACCTAAGGTACAAGAAAATGTACTGTTAAAAAACACACATGGGTACTTTTGGTGGTATGGCTTTAAAACCCAGCACTTGTCTATAAAAGCCTTACAAGCAAAGTTAGTGAACAGCAATTTTTATTTTAAAAAAAATGGAAAGTATTTTACTAGACCAAATTAGTTTAAGACATATGAAAATCAAATCTTATGCAAACACCCTTAGAAAAACTGAATTATATAATTAACATTCCTTTCCACAAATTAATAACAAATGTGTTAAATTACTGTGTATTAAAGATATGATTTCAAAGTTAGAGCTGTTTCAAAATACTATGTTCAAATCTCATTCTGTAAGAACCCAGGGAAGTTGCCAAACCACCCCGCTGTCCTTCCAGTAGGGTTTCATGGTACACCGGAGGGTCTATTATGAGCCAGGAGAGAGTCACTAAGTAATATTCAAAGAAAAATAAAAGTAAAACATCAGGTACAAATTAATTTAATTCACTCCTGAGACTTACACAGAGCTCACTGACTTAAATAAAGCATGACAACACTGTTTTTAAATATCAAGAACACTGTTTTCTGGCAGCATCCAGTATACTTTTGTGTTACAAGTAGGTCATAAAGATAGGGCTTCAGGGAGAAATAGAAACACAGATGAACCTCTAAAGAAAGAGAAACCTCGAGCAGAAGACTTCTTATTCTCTTTTTATGAGGCACAAACAGAAAAATAGATAAAACATAACAACCCTGATGATAGATTGCGGGGGACTTCATATCTCGACTTTTATGTTTTATGAATGATATTTAATACAGCATTATTCCTGCTGAATAACCAGAAAATTTGCATCATCAATAATACGGTTAAAAAGTTCACTCCATGGTAATATCCATGTCAACCAATGTTACCTCTTCTACATAAAACGTGTGTGTGTATATAGTACACAGAGAATATATATGTCTAGAGCATACATATAAACACAGTCATGTCTTCCAAGTCTCAAGCCCATCTGACACTTTACAATGAAGAGAGAAAACAGGAATGAGACTTCTGGTACCATTTATTTTTCTGTGACAGTAATAAAGCTGCTGTATCACAGCTTGGAAAATACACAGTAATCATTGTATATTACAGTAACTGTATAATGCAAAAGCAAATGATTTTTTTCCCAGAAAAAAAAAAAATCTGTCTTCCCTATGACTCTGCTTCCTCCCCCCTCAAAAATACCGTATACGTAATTTCCACCTAACGTCAGAAGGCTTCCCGTGCCCATGGCCCGTGGAAGCAGCATGGTCACAGCTCAGCAGGAGGACGCCTGTCTCCACGTCTGTCTCCGACGCAAACTGCGCTCCCAGGCCGGCTCGTCTTACAACTCTTCCTTCAAGCCTTTCTGTGTCTCTTGCCTGGCTTTGTCTTCCTCCCTGGGCGCCAACCATGTGAAATACACCTTTACTGGATCAATGTTCCAGTGTTTGTGAAAGGATATGGGAACTTGGTGAGAAAGGTAGTCCCTGGGGTAATCCACGGGCCGAGCCTGCGGGAAGAAGAAAAGAGAATCACGTTCCTCTATTTGCTGAAAACAATTTTGCTTCAGCACAGCATTATCTGAATTTATGAAGTGACTGCTTTTCGCCAATATTTGATATTGCTTATGAGAATGTAAAAGCAAAAAAGAAGATCTTTTCTACTACCCTCTCTCTGATGCAAGGCTCTTTGCTTTTGTATCTCCGATTACTTTAATATCCCAAATATACCACTTTTGGCTTCTGTGTTCCGTAGTCATGCCTCTGGGAGAGTTCTTAACCATGGTAATAGATATAAAAAGCCTTCCTTGGTCAGTCATTCAAGGGACTATTATAACTTCTGCAAAAGGCAGAAAAATTGCTATTTCTCAGGCCTCTCTAAAGAAAGTGGCCATACCTGGAATGTGTGTGTGTGTGTGTGTGTGTGTGTGTGTGTGTGTGTCTGGGAGGGGGGGCGGGGGTGAAGAGTTCCCAGGGGCTCCCCCTTGCCTGTCCACTGCCCTGACATGTAATTAGGTGTATCTCTCAGAGCAGGAAAATGCAGAGCTCATCAGGAATCCAGGAGAAGCATGAAGTAACTCAGCACTCACTTCCCACCCAGATACCTAGTCTGATTCCAGAAATGGCAAGGGAAACATTGAGTAACCAGATGCAGTTTGCAAGAGGGCCTAAAAAGTTTTTGCATCCTCATCACTTCAGGATTCTCTAGAACTTACAAAATGAAGTTTAAGCAGAATTAGACCTAGCCTAGGATGGCTGAGATTGAAGTAACCTTCAGAGTATAGAAGGAAAGAGAAACTAGACACTATTTTTTTTTCTCTAAACAAAGCATCCACCTTTCTCTCAATGCTTATCTTGTTTATAGATTTATATAGCCCATCTGTGTTCTCTAGTAACTCACTGACTTATCAATACTAAAACAGTCTTGGCTTTATTAAATCTAGATAGGAAACATTTTGAAAACAAGTCTTCTCTAGGCTAGTATTTTATTATATTCTACTTAAATGCTTGCAGTGAATACTTATGTAAATCCTCTTAAGTGGTTTATAAAATACCTTCATTAAATTTTATCTCATTCAGCCCTTGAAACAACCTTGCAAGGTGATCAGAGTATCCTGATTGATCTTCAGTTTATAGATGAGGAAACTGGAGCTCACAGAATTTATAAGTTTCTTAGGGCAACAGGTCTAACACCTATTGCACTGGGGACAAGAGCAGGTGACCAGCCCAGCTCCTAGTTCAAGCAGGATGCCTGCAACTGGTCCTCATTCCGTGGCCACAAGCCTGGTCCACCAATGGTGCCTCAGCTGCCCTGACCTCCTTGGGGGACTTTATCCTGAGATGGCACAAATATCCTGCTCCAATGAGTGTTAATACCTCTGCATGGAAGTTCAAAATGACGGCGTGGGTTGGGTGGAGAACTTCCATACTAACCATGCATTGTCCTTTAAAGATTCTAAGTGCTCGTGGAGTTAAAAATCTAAGAAGGCAATTTTAAAGGGAGAAAGTGAACCAAAGACCAACAATACACGCTAGAATAATGTCTAACAGACTTGAGCAACTTCTGAGTGTCAGCTAAGGAGATTCAAATGTGATATCCTGCTTGCAAGGCCCTCTGGGAGTTTACTGGCCTGGAAGAAACCCCAGGGAAAACAAACGCTCAATTTTGTTCTCAGACAATTCCACAAGGCTCCCAGAAGAAAGAAAGAAAAATCGTGGAAACAAATCTTGAATCGTTTTTCACATTTAAAAATGAACTCTCAGAGACACAAATGCATCTCACAGGAAAAAAAGAAATCCATGCTATCTTTCCCTCTATTAATGCGGATTCCAGAAGGGACTGCGGTTGCACGTTAGCACAGGAGTGAAGAGCTGGTTTACAAAGTATTAGAATGTGCTAATCACTTCTGGCAAATGCGGTTTTGGAAAAGAACAAGATGAGCCTAGCGAAGTGGAATGTGTCCACAGAGGCATCTGTAACACCAGGAAGTCTAGACGGACTCTGATAATCACATTTCTGTGCCCAAAATGCCAAAAGGAAGTGGCGAACAGGCAGGGTTGGGTGGAGGGGGAAGGCCTTAGGAACAGACATGAAGCATGATGGGAAGCTGTACGCAGGAGAGAGACGGCATAAGATGCATGGAAGGACGTACATTGGATGAAATCAAAACTTAATCTGTAAATATTACACACACTGAACAGTGCAAAAAACAGATTAAATTTGTATTTGCTTAGACAAATACAACTTTTATAGCTGTATTGACATAATTTACATACAATTCACATACAGGCATGGTAGTTTGAAAACTTTTAGATTTCCATATCGATCCAGTTTTAGAAGACTACCTACGGTCATTCCCCCAGAACTCCCTGCCATGCATTTTCAGCCAATCCCTACCCCAGTGGCAGCCCCCGGAGACCACTGATTTGCTTTTTCTCTATAGTGTTGCCTTTTCTAGAAATTTCTTATCAGTGGAATCATACATTATGAATGTTTTGAGCCTGGCTTCCTTCACTTAGCATTGCTGCATGTACCAGTAGCTCATTACTTTTATTGCTGAGCAATATATCACACTAAGTGGAAACACCATACAAACAACACACAGTTATCATCACACAGCTTCCATGGGCCAGGAGATTTGGCAACACATAGCTGGGACCTCTGCTTCATGGTCTCTCACCAGATCGTAATCAGGACGTCAGCCCAGGCTCTATAATCTCATCTGAAGGCTCAAGTAGGAAAAGATGCACTTCCAAGCCCAGTCAGTAGGTACTGGTAACACTCAGTTCCTTGCGGGCTACTGAGCTGAGGGGCTTCACTTTCATACCCTGTCCCCTTGCAGCTTGCTTCAGCAAAACCTGCAAGCCCGGAAGGAAGTAGGAGCGTCTACAAGGAAGATGGAAGTCACAATCCCTTGCAGCATAATGACAGAAGAGACATCCCATCACCTTTGCCATATGCTTTTGGCTCATACTCCAAAGAGGGGAAAACGCAGGGTATGAATTATCAACAGGAGGGGACCAATGAGATCTATGTCATAAATTGCCTGCCACATAGATGTTTAATTTTTTTTAAAACTGCCAAAACGTTTCCAAAGTAACTATATTTTATATTCCCACTAGAGGCCCAGGTCTGTTTGCTTATAGGCATTCTATACATGTGAATTTAGCTTGCCTCTCCCTAATGACTAATCATGTTGAGCATCTTTCCATGTGCTTAGTAGCTGTTTATGCATCTTCTTTAGAGAAATGTCTGTTCAGTCTTTTACCCAGCTTAAACTCAGCAGCTGATTTTCTTACTGAGTTGTAAAAGATTGTTATATATCCTGAATTCAAGTCCTTTACCACAGACATGATTTACAGATACTTCTCCCAATTTATGGGTTTTTTTTTTTTTCATTCTCTTAAGGATATCTTTTGAAGAGCAAAGTCTTAAGTTTCATGATTTCAATTTATAAATTTTTCCTTCTATGGATCTTGCTTTTGATGCCATAAAACTTTGCCTTCACTAAGGTCAAAAAGAACTATCCCTATGTGGTTTTTTTTGGCGGTTTATAATTTTATCTCCTATGTTTTGTACGATGATTCATTTTGAATTAATATTTGTGTGTGATGTGAGGTTAAGTTCCAAGTTCACTTTTTGTATGTGGAAATACATAATTGCTCTAGCACCAGCTGACCTGGGCCACTTCTCCCCTGGATTGCTTTGGCATCTTTGACAAAAAAGAGTTTATGACAGGGTTTATTTCTAGACTCTCTATCCTGTTGCATTTACATTGATGTGTGTGTGTGTGGATGTGTGTGTGTTTATCCTTCTACTACTTGCATCGTCTTGATTATCATAGCTTTAGAGTAAGTTTTGAAATCATAGAACTGTAAATCCTCCAATTTCAACCTCCTTTTTAAGAATTACTGTGTATTTCCATATAAATTTTAGAGTCAGCTTGTTGATTTTGACAGAGAAGCCTGCTATGACTTTGGATATGGATTGCACTGAATCTATTAATGAATTCATCTACTGATAAATTTGGGGAATGTGGGGAAATATAATTTCCTGTAAAAAAGCCCTATAGCCCACAAGAAACACTTCACATTCCATTTGTCTAGTTAACTGCTCAGATCCCAAAGGAGAGTAAAACTTCCCTTATCTCTTGGAGAGGCCAAGGGTTATATCCCTGAACTAGGTCCAGAGGGTAAGCCCCAAGGTGCCAGAAAAACCTGAACACTTTCCACCCTGGGATACATTTACATTTCAAGGAAGAATAAGGGGTGTATTTGCATACCAAAATGCTGAAGTAAGAAAGCATTTCCCTTTAGAAACAGAGGAAACAGTTTTTCTTTGTCCCTTGCTGATGGGGTATCACACCACTCGCAAGCCAGTTGAATTGGCCCTCATCCTACTGCCCTGGAGGTAAAAACTAGGTCAAAGGGGCAGTGGGAGTGGGAGTGGGGGCAAGATTTGCTTATTATTTATTGTGAGGTACTTAATGTAAAAATCTATCTCTGATCCAGAACACTTCCTTTAGGAATTCAGAATAAGTTAATTTTAAGTGAATAAGATGAAATAATAAAATTCTTGTTTTAAAAAAGATTTTATTTATTTATTTGAGTGAGAGAGAAAGAGAGCACAAGCAGTGGGAGCAGCGGGCAGAGGGAGAAGCAGGCTTCTGCCAAGCAGGGAGCCCAGTATGGGACTCTATCCCAGGACCTGAGATCATGACTTGAGCTGAAAGCAGAAGCTTAACCAACTGCGTGCACCCAGGCATCCCAGTATTTTAAATGGTATTACAAAATCAATGGAGAAAATTGCAATAGCAATAGTGAGTCTTCCAATCCATAAATATGGTACAGATCTCTTCATTTAATTAGATCTTAATTTCTCTCAGCAGAATTTTATTATACAGTATACAGTGTAACTCCATTTTAATTTATTCCTGATGTATTTTATTCATTTGCCTGCTATTTTGAATGACACTGTTTTCTTCATCTTCAGTTTTTGTTTTTTTATTTT